CTGTTTATTGTTTTCCCCAGGGCTGTTGTCACTTTGAACGGTCATTAAACGAATGACTGTAAGTCAAGGACTACCTGCGTGGTGTGGAAAAACAGGAGGGTCACTCCCACATTGCCTCTTTGGAGTGCCCTTGCACGCAACAAACATACAATGAATGGCTGCAGGAACTGGGCATGGCTAGTCTAGTGAAGAGAAGGACCAGGGGAGACATGATAGCAGTGATCCAGTATTTGAGGGGCTGCCACAGAGAGGAAGGGGGTCAAGCTATTTTCTAAAGCACCTGAAGGCCAAACAAGGAATAATGGATGGAAACTGATCAAGGAGAGATTCAACCTGGAAATAAGGAGAAATTGTCTTTCAGTGAGAACAATCAACCAGTGAGAACAATCAACCCAAGGAACAGAAGTTGCCTTCAGAAGTTGTGGGAGCTTTATCACTGGAAGCTTTCAAGAAGAGACTGGACTGCTATCTGTCAGAAATGGTGTAGGGCAGTGATGGCGAACATTTTTGGCACCGAGTGCCCAAACCTGAACACACATGCATGCGCCGGAAACCCAAAAACCAGATGGCTGGTGCGCACATGCCTTTTTTGGGCTGTTTTTGGGACCGTTTTCAGGCCATTTTTCAGGATGTTTTGGGAGCGTTTTTCGGGCCAAAAACAGCCCGAAAAACAGCCTGAAAATGGCCTAGGAAACGGCCTGAAAAACAACCCCAAAAAGGGCCGAAAAACAGCCTGATTTTGGGCTGTTTTCCGAGCCATTTCAAGGCTGTTTTCCGGTGCTCTGGTTCCCACAAAGACCAGCTGATTGGCGCGTCGGAAACCAGAAGAGTAGCTGGGGATGGTGCCATAGGTTTGCCATCACGGGTGAAGGGTCTTGCTTGGGCGGTGGGTTGGAGTAGATGACCTACAAGGTCCCTCCCAACTCTGTTCAATCTGTATTATAATCTGTATCTTAATCATCCTTAAATAGATTGCAGGTCAGATGAAGGCCAGTTGTTGCCCCAAGTACAAGCTAACAATGGTGCCCTTTGGCTCTTCCATTGCTCAACCGACAAGGCTTAAGACACAACAAGTGCTGTTCACGGACTTTGAGAGTGTCAATGAAAGAGTTAAGGGCATGATAGCAACTTTTCCTTTGATGCCCTAAACAGAGTGTTTGTTTTCCTTAATGGTTAATCCAGGGCCTGATCTATAGGCTCACACGTGGATTGCCATCACACAACATCTTTATGTTGTTTGTTTAAATGGTCCCTTTCTCTGGCTTTGAGTCATACGTTCCCCATCCTGACCAAACACCTGGATTTGTGTAATCTTGCAAACCACAAAAAAAACAACAACCACCGAACTTAAAACTAATAACGCCCTGCAGATATTTGGGCGATTGTGACTACTGGATTTGCAATGAGCAGTTTGGTTCCTATGGCTTGAAAAAGAAAATATTTTTCTCTGCAATGAAACCTCCAGATGGAAGGGATGAAAACAGACAAAGAGGTTTCGCACTCGTGACTTCTCTTGGTACAGAATTAATCTTCTCACCATTCCTATCACCCATCTCCTCCCACTTATGACTGTATGACTGTAACTTTGTTGCTTGTATTCTTACGATTTATATTGTTTCCTAGTATGATTTGATTGCTTATTTGTTCCCTATGACTATCATTAAGTATTGTACCTAATGATTCTTGACGAATGTATCTTTTCTTTTATGTACACTAAGAGTTTATGCACCAAAGACAAATTGCTTGTGTGTCCAATCACACTTGGCCAATAAAAAATTATATTCTATTCTGTTCCGTTCCGTTCCATTCCATTCTACAGGTAGAGAACCATCCGTTCAGCGATCGTTTGTTGTTACAGTGGCACTGAAAAAAGCCACAACTAGCCCTTGCACATTTCAAATATAGCGACATCCCCACAGTCAAAATTCAAATACAGGTAATCCTCGACTTACAAACAGCTCGTTTAGTGACTGTGCCGTTTCAACCACACTAAAAAAAGTGACTTACGACAGTTTTTCACCGTTATAACCTTTGCGGCATCCCCCATAATCATGTGATCAAAATTTAGACGCTTGGCAACTGGTTCATATTTATGACGGTTGCAACGTCCCCGGGGTCACGTGATCCCCCTTTTGCGACCTTCTGATAAGCAAAATAAATAAATAAAAGCCAGATTCACCTAACAAACTGGGTGACTCACTTTACAAACTTATCAATTCTTGGGAGTTGAAATCCACAGGTCTTAAAAGTTGGCAACTTTGGAGAGCCCCGATTTAGGATTTGGAGAACCCGCAGCTGTTCAGACAAACCTTCCTTGGTAGATGTCTATGGAAATTCTCAGCCATCCAGGTCACGGTTGACCCAAAGGTGCTTTTTTTTCAGGAGGCAACTGGACTTTTCTTCATTTTTTCTTTGAAGACGTTTCGCTTCTCATCCAAGAAGCTTCTTCAGCTCTGACTGGATGGTGGGGAATGGAAGGATTTATACTCCTTGCAGACTCCTTGCAAAATGACCAGCTGTCTGCAAGGAGTATAAATCCTTCCATTCCCCACCATCCAGTCAGAGCTGAAGAAGCTTCTTGGACGAGAAGTGAAATGTCTTCAAAGAAAAACAAGAAAGTCCAGGTCTCTCCCGAAAAAGCACCTTTGGGACAATCATGACCTGGATGACTGAGAATCTATACAGACCTTTAGCTATACAATTTGGGACAAACACCCTTTGAATGGTGTGGGAATAAGAATAGATTTCCAGAGCTAAAAATTGCAGACTACAAGAACCATTTGCACCATTCAGGTGACTCTGAGGATACAGATAAAACCTCCAGTTGCTTCAACCACCCACTAAAAAGGATGCAAATGTCCAGCTGTCTGCAAGGAGTATAAATCCTTCCATTCCCCCACTATCCTGTCAGAGCTGAAGAAGCTTCTGGGATGAGAAGTGAAACATCTTCAAAGAAAAATCAGAAAGTCCAGTTGCCTCTTGAAACAGCATTGTCCTCTGGACAACCGAGGACACAGTGGCAAATCTCCAAGTGGCCTCAACGACTCTCTAAAAGGATGCAAATGACCAAGAAATAAATCCTTCCATTCCCCCCGCCATCCTGTCAGAGCTGAAGAAGCTTCTGGATGAGAAGTGAAACATCTTCAAAGAAAAATCAGAAAGTCCAGTTGCCTCTTGAAACAGCAGTTGTCCTCTGGGACAACCGAGGACACAGTGGCAAATCTCCAAGTGGCCTCAACGACTCTCTAAAAGGATGCAAATGACCAAGGAATATAAATCCTTCCATTCCCCCGCCATCCTGTCAGAGCTGAAGAAGCTTCTTGGATGAGGAGCGAAACGTCTTCAAAGAAAAAAATAATAATAATAAAAATAAAAATTTGGTTAACAGAAATAACAGAAGAGGAAATAGAGTTTAAACCGGAAATTTTTTTATTAGGCATGATCCAAGAAAATATTAGGAGAGAAATAAAATATTTAATATTACATATAATTACGGCAGCCAGATTGGCACTAGCGCAACATTGGAAAACGGATCAATTGCCAACGGATCAACTAGTAATCCAGAAAATTTACAATTGTGCGGAAATGGATAAATTAACATTTTGAGTTAAAAGACAAGGTAGACTCAAAATATGGTATGGAATAGATGGCACGAATGGATAAGTTTGTTTTGTTTTTTGTTTTGCTTTAATTTATATGTTGCCCTTCTCCGGAGACTCAGGGCGGCTTACAATGCGTTAAGCAATAGCCTTCATACTTTTGTATATTTATACAAAGTCAGCTTATTGCCCCCACAATCCGGGTCTTCATTTCACCTACCTTAGAAAGGATGGAAGGCTGAGTCAACCTTGAGCCTGGTGAGATTTGAACTTGCAGTAATTGCAAGCAACAGATGTTACTAACAGTGCTTAGTCCACTGTACTACAGGCTCTGTAAAAAAAATAAATGTAAAAGTTTGTATGAAAATAAAATTAACAACCACCGTCAACAAGATAAATGATGTAATAAGTCACTATATATGTGTGTGTGTGTGTGTGTTTTTCTTTTAGCCAAGTTTTTCCTATTTAACCAAGATTTTTCTGCAGCCTTAGCTCAGATTTTTCTGCAGAAAAATCTTGGTTATGTAGGAAAAACCTGGCTAAAAGAAAAACACACATAAAACCTACCAAAAGTAAGAGAAAAGATATATATATATATATATATATATATATATATATATATAGAGAGAGTTAGAGAGAGAGAGAGAGAGAGAGAGAGAGAGAGAGAGAGAGAGAGATATGACTATGTAAGTTTTCACGGGTATATATGTGTGTACAGTTAATATTTCGGGTTTCACAATTACACGGGAAGAAACCCGAAATATTAACTGTACACACACACAGACACACACACACACACATATATAGTTTGTGTAGTTTTGTATTGTTTTTTCTATTTTTATCGTATAGAAATGTATTTTGTATGTATTTGATATGATATTTTATCTTTTTCTGTTTAATAAAGTTTGTTTTTAAAATGAAAAAAATAAAAAATAAAAAAAAGATTTTTTGGGGGGTAGAGTTTTCAAGTGGGGGGAGCTTTTCCGAAGCACCTGCTCAAAAATAATTACCCCCTCAACCACCCCCTTCCTCTCGCCTTCTGGACCCAGCAGCTCCCCCACTTCTACCCCAAAACAGAACCGGCACCATCCCCCGCCCCCCACTCAAACCTTTCACGGACCGACGGGATTCCCTCCCTCCCTTTTTCACCTCAGCCTCTACCGACCCCTCCTCGTCACACCAGAAAGCCGGACCTTGCCTGCCTGGCTCCTCCTTTCTCCCTCCTCGTCGTCCTCCTCCTCCTCCTCCTGCCGGGGCCCCGTGACGCTCCTGGCTGTAACACGAGGGCTGGCGGGGTGGGAAATGGGATCCGGGAGGAGGGGTCGAGGCTAAAGGGGGACGGCCCCGCAGAGCCCAGCCGCGGCTTTAAACCTCGCACGGGGGAGAAGGGGGGGCGGGAAACGGGACGGGCGACTTTCTCCAGGCTTTTTTTTTTTGCAATATCCACACCGGCACCACAGGAGTATAAAAGCAGGAGGAGGAGAAGAAGAAGAAGAAAAAAGAGGGCTGGCCCCGCCGACCCCTCACAAAAGCCCACCCACCCAAGGCTCGGAAAAACCGGCAAGACGCTCGCTCGCCCGGCTGTCAGCCGGTCAACTCAACCCAAGCAAGGAACCCCAAGCAAGAAACCCGCCTCGCGCGCTTTGGCCGAGCCCGGCTTTTGAGGAGGGTCTCCCCGCTTGCTCGTTCGCTCAGCCGGCCAAGGGGGTCGCGTGAGGAGAAGGAGGAGGAGGAGGAGGAGGAAGAAGAAGAGGAAGGTCGTCTTCGGGGAAGCCTAGCCGCCTCCGCGGCTCTCGCTCCTCTCAGCGCCGCGCGTCAGCCCGGATTTCCGAAAAGTTGCCAAAGAAGCGAGAAAGAGAGAGAGAGAGAGAGAGAGAGAGAGAAAGAGTCAACGAAGAAAGAAACCGAAGAGCTTCGGCTTTTTCCGCTCCGCTTTGCCGCCCCCCCCCCCACCCACTCGCCCACCTCGTGCCGGACCACCTCGGACTCTTCGTTTCGCTTCTGCCGCTCCGAAACAGCCGCCAAGCTGGACGACCGGCGGAAAATCGACCCCAGGAGGTGAGGCGCTTTATTTTTTGGTTTTTTGGATTCGGGGGGTTTACGAATTGCGGGGGGCGGCTTCGTCTTTTCTCTCCTTGACCCGTCCGAGGTCTCCACGCTAGCTGAGAGGAGAGAGTGTTATGGGTGAGGGGGGGCTTGACCCGGCTTCACACGACACCAAACACGTGTCGCGTGAAGGCGGCCAAGCGGGCGCTTTTCTCCTCAGCTTTCTTTCCCCCCCCCTTCATTCCCACCCGCTTGCTTGCTTTTTTTTTTTTTTTGCTTTAATTTATATGCCGCCCTTCTCCGGAGACTCAGGGCGGCTTACAATGCGTTAAGCAATAGCCTTCGTACTTTTGTATATTTATACAAAGTCAGCTTATTGCCCCCACAAACCGGGTCCTCATTTCACCTACCTTAGAAAGGATGGAAGGCTGAGTCGACCTTGAGCCTGGTGGGATTCGAACCTGCAGAAATTGCAAGCAGCAGTTGTTAATAACAGTCCTTCAGTCCACTGGACTACAGGCTCTTTTCTCGCGCGGGGGACCAGGTCTCCTGCTTTGTGCCCAGGTTGCTTTTTTTTTCTTTCCCCTACTTCTCCCGACAACCCTGTGAGGTGGGAAAACCGAGAAGGAAATCGGAATCTGAATCGAGCTTGGAAAAAGGGACCTTAGAGGTCTTCTAGTCCAGCCTTCCTCCTTCCTTCATCAAGCGGAAGATGCTATATCAGAGGTCACCAACCTTTTCAGATCTCAAGGGATCACTAAAAGAGCCTTGGCAGTACATTGGACTAATGCACTGTTATTAACATCTGCTGCCTGCAATTACTGCAAGTTCAAATCCCACCAGGCTCAAGGTTGACTCAGCCTTCCATCCTTTCTAAGGTAGGTAAATTGAGGACCCAGTTTGTGGGGGCAATAAGCTGACTTTGTATAAATATACAAAAGTATGAAGGCTTTTGCTTAACCCATTGTAAACTGCCCTGAGTCTCCGGAGAAGGGCGGCATATAAATTAAAGCAAAAAAAATAAATAAATCATAATTTTAAATCCCGTGGACCACTAATATGAAATTTAAAAAAAAAAAGATAAATGGTATTTAGTGCCATATAATAATGCAAACAAGTTTTTCTGCGGACCGCCGCAATTTTCTCGCAGACCACCTGTTGGTGATCGCTGCCCTATATCACCGCTGCCCTATGGATATATGTGTCTAATTGTGGCTGTGCACCGCCCTGAGTCCCTCGGGAGAAGGGCGGTATAAAAATTTAAATAATAAAATAATAATAAAAATAAATAAATTTCAGAGGCTACCATATCGTAGCTGCCAAACCCCAAGCAGTTACCAGATGGTAGGTAGCCTAGTGTCAAATCCTTAGCTGCCAATCTAATGATAGTTTGCGATCAGGTTCCAGTAGCTGTGAATCCATCAGAAATCAGAATACAGCCGGAAGGGACCTTGGAGGTCTTCTAGTCCAGCCCCCCACTCATGCGGGAGAATCTATGCCATTTCAGACAGGAGGCTGTCCAGTCTCTTCTTAAAACCCCCCCAATAATGAAGCATCCACAACTTCTGGTGGCAAGCTGTTCCACTGGTGAATTGTCCTCCCTGTTTGGAAGTTTCTCCTTAATTCCAGGTTGCTTCTCTCCTTGATTACTTTCCATCCATTGTTTCTTGTCCTGCCTTCTGGTCCTTTGGAAAATAAGTTGACCCCCTCTTCTTGGTGGCAGCCACTCAAATACTGGAAGACTGCTATCATGTCCCCCCCTAATTCTTCTTTTCTCTAGACTAGCCAAACTCAAATCCTGCAACCGTTCTTCATATGTTTTAGCCTCCAGGCCCTTAATCATCTTAATTGCTCTTGTTTGCATTTTCCCCCAAAGTCTCAACATCTTATTTTTGTGATGTGGTGACCAAAAATGAATGCAGGTGCCGGCAGGTGCCGAGTTGGGGGTTTCCATCCACACCTGTTGTTTGAGCCTCTGCAGAAAGTGTCTGCTGGCGCCACATTCACACAACACATTCAGCCAAGTTGGGGCTGTGACCTGTCAGCTCCAGTTCGCACAGCTTGCTTCTCGGTTGGCGTTGACCTCGGTTGGGTTTCATGTTGGGTGGTTTAGGGTTAAGGGGTGAGTCGTATAGGACGAGAGCCTGGAAACCGGATTGGTTAGTAACTAGGTTTAAATTGGTTGTAGGAATGCAGCCCCCGGGTTTTCCATGCTGGGAGTTTGCTGTCCGTGGGTACTTCAGGTAGGGGATAAGGGGTTGTCGGAGTTCATTTCCTTCCACCTGAAGGCGAATGGCTTGGGAAATCACACTTTCTACTTTGCTTCTTGCCGTCGGCTGTAGTTGTGGGTTCTTGTGATGCAAGAACTCTTGAAACATGTTTGGAGAAAGGCGTGGGAAAAGATGACAGGGAAAGTTTGCAGTGTCTTTAGAGTAGGAGGAAGCTGGGACTAGAAGAAGGGGCTACTGCCAGGGGTATATATGGGGTGCAAGATCAAATTAGCGTAGTGGGAAAAAGTAAGTGGGACTGGAACTTGGGAGAAAAGTTGAAATTCCTTTTACCAACTGGAATAGATTCAAATGGGAACAGTGGTATAAGTTGCAAAAAGACTGACATATTTGGTGCTACTCTTTGGAAAAGATGCGTGGGGGAAAATCAGATTGACATTTGAGCAGGGGAGAAGTCATGAGAATAAGAATCTAGAAATGAAAAGCTTCCTTCCTTCTTTCCTTCCTTCCTTCCTTCCTTCCTACCTTCCTTCCCTTCCCTTCCCTTCCCTTCCCTTCCCTTCCCTTCCCTTCCCTTCCCTTCCCTTCCCTTCCCTCCCTCCCTCCCTCCCTCCCTCCTTCCTTCCTTCCTTCCCTCCTTCCTTCCTTCCTTCCTTCCTTCCCATGGACTGAACACTTATAGGCAGAAATATTTGCTCCATTCTGTTTCTTTTCTCTGGCAAGTGTCCCCCTCAATTGTTTTTCCCCCCTCCTATGTGAGATGTACATATTACATTTTGTAGGAAAATTACATCACACTTAGGATTTTTTTTTTTTTAGTAGATGCATTATCAGTGGAAGTGATCCACCAGGTTGAAATCAGCCAGGAGAAATCAGCTGCCCCTGTGAACTTCGATTTGATCTTGAGGTAGAAGATCCGTTAAGGTGTCAATAGCATATTGGATGGAGTTTATGTGTGCAGCTATGACTGGAGGAATTAATTATACAGCAGAGGGCTATTAACTATGAAGCTCATGCATCATGCTAAATCGTGTTTTGATTAATCATGTTTTTTGAGTAAGTTGTAGCTGGTTCACATCATAATGTACGATAATCAAAACTTAGTCATATTTTGGCTTGTTGTGATCTGTAAATCCGGACATCTTTTGGAAATCGGCACTAAAAGATACATACTTTACATCTTTCTCACAACTTGAGGTGTGGATAGAGTCTAAATGTTGACTCTGAGTAACTAAGGATAAAGCATTTTGGGGGAAAGCTATACAATCTAGAGCAGTGATGGCTAACCTTTTTGCTGTTGTGTGCCAAAAGCGGCGGGAACGCGGGGGGTTTGCACGTGTGTGTACCCACCCACATGCATGAGTGACCCCCCCGCTCCCTGCTTACCTTTACTACCGGTTCGCAATGGGATCGCGCTTCTGCGCATTCGCAGATCGCCGATGATGACATCTGGCGTGGTGGGTGGGGCTTACCCCCCCGGCTTTACTACCAGTTCTTGCGAACCGGTCTGAACCGGGGACAACCCACCACTAGTGAGCACCTTGTGGGAGAAGGTTACTCTACATATTTCTTGTACTTCCGTTTAATTACAGCTCGATCTGTAAAGGAAGAACGAAAAGAATGTCTCCCCACTCTTATCTCAGTTTTGCTTTAAAACCGAACTAAAGCTGCCTGGGCTATTATCCAGTTTGACTTTCAGGAACCGGATCATAATCTCCAAAGGATTAAATCCTGTGAGTAATTATGGCTCATTTCAGGAAACACCAGAGCAATGCTGGAGAAAGTAACAAATAGCATGCTTTGATTCAATCAGAAATGGATGCATTTCTGCATGTATGAGTTCTGCCCTTGCAGGATTACTTAACTAGCTGTTTTTTTTGATAAGGCATTTGAGCCCCCGGGGAATTTACTCAAACACCAACCGCAAGCCCTTTGCATGGATATGACACTTCATATAAATCTGTGTTATTCTCAGAACCTGTTTGACTGGCACTTGGGAGAAACAGGGCACAGGGATTGTGCATGGAGTTAGGTGGCATTGTTTGTTCTGAGTGCAAATGAGGCACACGTGAGAGACTCATTCATGATATGGAACCACCAAGTTTTTATTTATATTTCTACTTTTGTTATTTTTACAAATTAGGTGGCAAAACATACCTTCAGCCTCCTATTTTCCCCAGCAGAACAGCCCCATAAGATGGGTTGGGCTGTGAGTGGCTCAAAATCACCCAGCTGTCTTTCAGGCCTAAGGCGGGACTGAAACTCACAAACTCCTGGTAATTGGCCCAAAATCACCTGGCTGTCTTTCATGCCTGAGGTGGGACTGGAACTCCCAGACTCCTGGTGATTGGTCCAAAGTCACCTGTCTGTCTTTCATGCCTAAGGCAGGACTGGAACTCACAGACTCCTGGTGATTGGCCCAAAGTCACCTGTCTGTCTTTCATGCCTAAGGCAGGACTGGAACTCACAGACTCCTGGTGATTGGTCCAAAGTCATCCGGCCAGCTTTCATGCCTAAAACAGGACTAGAACTGATAAGAGAATATTTGTAGTTCAGGGTTGAATAGTAGTGTACTGATAATGTTACCTAGTGTGGTAATGAAACGTCTCCAAAAAAGCAACCAACCTCAGAGTATCAAGTTCTTTGCAGTACTCACAATCTCCTGGTTTCTAGCCTGGTACCTTAATCACTAGACTTTAGGCTTTATTTTGAGGCATTTGAAGATCCTTCTTATCTGTCAGGACAACTTTGTCTATAGGTGCCACTACTTAATGCAGAAAAAGT